CAAAAAAAAGAAAAAAGAAAATTCATCTTTGAATTTTCAGATTCTTACACTTGTACAACAGCGATTCGATCGACTTCTGTATCCTCGACCGCTCGGCGGGCCCCACCACCCGTGACGTCTCGTGCAGGCTCTGAATCCCTCTTCCCAGGCTCGCAATCGAGTGTGCAGCCGGAAATGACTCGGCAGCACACTCGATCCCATCCCCATAAACGAGCAGCCCAGCACAGGTCGCTATGCTGCACCCGAAAGTCGCAAACGGCATGAACCCGATTGGCCGAGCCCTCCTCTTCCTCATGATCTCGTAAAACGCCGTCCGCATAGCCGAGAGGCTCGTCTTTTCTGCTGACGCAATCATGCTGTGGGCCACTGCTCGGATTTTCTCAGCCGACAGGACTGCTTTCGTAGTCGCCCCTTTCAGCCCGGGGGCCGCCACTTTGCTGGGCCCGAACGCGAAAAGGAAGGCCTTTTGTGTCTGGGTGAAGATCAGCTTCAAAGATGAAGGCATGTGGAGAGTCGCCATTTTTACAAAAGTCGAGGCCGGAATGACTTTCGAGAGGGAAGAAGCTCCAACAGCTGCAGTGGCCCCAGCCCCCATGGCTACAACGGGCTTATCGGCCAAAATCCATTTTTTCCCACCATTGTTAAGGAATTCACCATCTTCGAAAGTGGTGACAAGCTGATCAACTGTGTTTTTGACGTCCGAAGGTATGTTGGTGTTCCAGTGCTTTCTTAACCCGGCTAGCCCACTGGCATCGATTATGGCCACTATTGATTTGTAATTCTTGGTCTGGCTGCGAAGGGCGTGGGCAAGGATGGCGTGCGACTTGTCCTCCATTGGGAGGTCACAGAACTCGCAATTGTTCGAGACCGAGTTTTTCAGCAGCATTTGGCCGGCATTATTAAGGGCGATCCTCAAACCCTCGACGGCGATTTGAAACGCGTAAACTTCCGAGAGAATTCGGTTGTTGATATTTTCGCCCTTGTTGACGTCGTAGAACATTTTCTGAGCGGAGGCCAGTGCCATTTTCATAGACGGGATTTCGATGAATATGTCGTGCAAGTCCACCAGCAATGGGTACACGGATTTTGCAAACTGGGGGACCGAGTAATTGTCTTCAGGCCGGATATTATTCTCGCATTCAGGGTTTGAAAGAGGGCTCAAGCTGGCCAAATAGGACGACAACAACTTCACCATCCGAGACTGGACAGCGTCTGTTGCAATATGGAAAGCCTTAGATGATAATGAGACATTTGCTGGGCTTCCCATTTTTCCCGAGGCTAAGCCGCTCGGTTGCAGCCCAAACGGGCTATGGAAGCCAGTAGCTCCTAAATTCAGAGACTCCCTTTCTTCTAAATCCAGATCACATTCGCTTGTGCTGCAATTCACAAAAGGCGACTCGAGAATCAAGAATGAGGCCCCAACCTCATCTGCAGCCTTCTTGGCGGCCGTGAAGTGGCCATTAAAGCTCACGCCGAAAATCTCCCTCAGCACCAGGTTTCCGGCCACATCCTCATACTTCTCCCGGTTGACCTTGTGAGTGAAACATCTCTTCAGGACCTCGAAAACCGATGTGGGAACGCTATCCTCGTCCAAACATTTGTCATCATCTTTCGACCCGTTTTTACAGTCTTTCAGTAATTTCTCCCGGGCCTCCGGATTGCTCGAGGGTCCGACCTGGACAACAACGGCGTCCGGATTAACCTCTCGAATCAGATACTCGGCGTCAAGGGCAGACCTTTCCGACAGATTCTGGGCCGAGAGGACGTAAATCACGGCACCAGACTCGGGCTCGCGGATCGCGTAGACGAAATGCCTCGTGCTCTCGGGGATCGGCAATTTCTTCACGATCGAATCAGATGCCCTCAGGTCGTCGTAGGTAAACGCCGAGAAGGGCCATAGATTCTGCAACGCGGACCACATGACGGAATTTCCAGTCTTCCTATTGTTTTTGTTCGAATTTAATTTCTTAAATCGGCTAAAATTATTCGCCGGCGATGTTCAGGGGCAGAAGTAAGAAGATTCATACGGTACACAGACGCAGTCACGCAAGCATACGAGCGCGCGAGCGCGTGTAGAGGGATAGGGTAGAGATTTGTAGATAGATATAGAGAAATTGGACGGAATTGAGTACCTGATAGAGAGAGAAAACGGGTTTGAGCGAGGGTTTCCGATGGCGGTGGCGGTGGTGTGGTGGGAGGTTTTGGAGGAGAAGGTGAAGAAGTTGCTGAAAATCCGTGGCCGGCCGGTTGAGGATGGAAAGGGATAGAGATTAGTGTTGGCTTAAACCGGGTTTACCTTAATAATATCACATTACTATTTGTTCACCTCCCATTAGAAAAATCAGGTAAGAATGAATGAGTCAAGGACTCGAGGCATATAGTCTATTTGGATTTGATTTATAGGTGTAATAAATCGGTAGATTGATGATTTTTATTTATATATATCTTTTTTTTTTGAAAAAATTGCACCTCATATCACGACCTTTTCGACTTTTGCGTTTCTGCACCACTTTGCGACTTTGGCAATTCGATACCCAACCTTTTGGTATTTTGCAAGACCAAGTATTGACCACATTACCGGCCGACCAATGTCAACCTGTCCGGCCATTTAATCCAACATGGCTCTGATGTTGACGACGTGGCTCAGGCAACATATACATATCAGCAAATCCAACTATTCTTATAAAATAAAATAAAAAAAGACAAACAAAATCAATCCTAAATACATTTGGAATCCCTAATCGACACCCCAACCCAATTCAACAAAAAAACCCTTCAACTGAAAATCGACAGTCCCAAATTTTTCTCTGCAAATTTTAAATCCTTTTCCGAACCCTATTTTCTCTGTAAATGCGAAGCTGATTCTGTATAAATCCAAGAGCCATCGATTGTTTTTGTTGAAACAACTTTCTGAAGAACCCTAGAAATTGTTGCAACTGATGGACAGGTATGAAACATCATCTCTTCTCTTCTTCTTTGTTTTTTGTTTTCATATAAGTGCATTATGCATTATTTATTTATAATTGATAGATTATGGTTCATTTAGGTGTAGTATGTTGATGAAGGTTCTCTGATTTCTGAGAGAAATCGTATACTCTATGTTTTTTTAGAGAAAAATTATCAATCTTTGTCAATCACGGTGGGAAGTTTGTTATGCTGGATAATGCGATGGAGTATTTTGGAGGAGATATTCACATCAGCCATGGTATTGATATTGACAGGTTTGGTTATTTGGATTTAGTAGATGTAGTTGAGAAACTTGGTTATGTTGAGGTTGGCAAAATTTATCATAAGATTTGTGGAGAAAATGGATCGGTTAGTTACATACATATCCACAATGATGCTACTTTGATGGAGGTGATTGGGAGTTTGCAGCCCAACAAATTCCATGTTCATCTATTTGTTGATAATGAAAAAGACGGGCAGAAAAAGGCTTCAGAAGAATCTGTGATCAATAATGCTGGTGAAAAGGGGGCAGGAGGAACCACTGATCATGTTCAACCTACTTGTGTTGATGATGTTGATGATGATAATGATAATGATGAGAGTGATGATGATGATTATAACCCATCAGATTGGAGTTCTAGTGAAGATGGACTTTCTGAGGGTGACTTGGGAACTGATGATGAGGAGTACCTTCTAGCAAGGAAAACAAGGTTCTTTGGTGACAAGAAAATGAACAGTACACAAGATGACTCTCGGAGTGGACCCACCAATGGTGATCCAAGTGAACTACTCAGAGAGTATGATGCATCAGAGTATGGAGACTCAGATGAAATTGATTCAAACACATCAAATGATGATAGTGAGGATATTGAAGACAACAAGAGAAGGAAAAAGATGAAAATGGTGTTGTATGACCCAAATTGTGATCACAAGGCACTGGCATTTCAGCTTGAAATGCGATTTGAGAACATTGCTCAGTGTAAAGAGGCCATTCAAAGTTATGTTGTGTATAATGGGTGTAATATCCAATTTTGGAGAGTGAATCAACATCAGGTAGAGGCCAAGTGCATTGATGGTTGTCCTTGGAAGATATATGCTAGTGAAATCAAGGCTGAAGGAAGAGTTGCAATCAAGACTTTTGTTTCAAAGCACAGTTGTACCAGGGACATTAGAACAAGACAGGCTAATGCTAGGTGGATTGCTAAAGAATGCATTAACAAATTCAGAAAGAAGCCAAGAATGAAGATTGCTGAGTTAGAGGAGTACCTACTTGAAAAGTATGCTATTTAACCTTCAAAATGGAAGTTGTATAGAGCAAAGAAGAAGGCTTTGGACATGATTAGAGGATCTGAAGAAGAGCATTATAAGTGCTTAAGAAACTACATTGCTGAGTTGATGAGAGTTGATAGGGCTGGGAGGTTTGAAGTTCTTTTGGAAGAGGGCAGCTTTTTCAAGGCCATGTATGTTGGGTTTAGTGCATTGAGGGATGGGTTTTTACAAGGATGCAGACCAGTGATTGGATTAGATGGCTGCTTCTTGAAGACATCTTTAGGAGGTGTCTTGTTGTGTGCAGTGGGCAAAGATGGAAATAATCAGATTTACCCAATTGCATGGGGAGTTGTTTGCATGGAGAATGAATTTACTTGGTCATGGTTCTTGGAAAAACTATTTTCAGAGCTCAAAATAAGGGATGGTTTGGGCTGGACTATCATAAGTGATCAACAAAAGGTTAGAATAATACTTTACATATGTACAATATTCATCTATTACAGAGTTGATATTTTGTTTATTCATATTATGCAGGGACTTATGAATGTTGTCAGGACTTATGCCCCACATGCTGAGCACAGGAATTGTGCTAGGCATGTGTACATGAACTGGAAAAAAACTCACAAAGGGCAGACTTTGAAGAATTGCTTTTGGAAGCTTGTGCATAGCACATATGAGGCTGAATACAAGGAAGCACTTGAGGATTTGAAAGCAGTAGATGATAAAGCCTTCAAGGACTTCTTTACAAAAGAGACTTTTAGGTTCTGTAAGTGTTTTATTTCAGAATCTCCTAAGTGTGATATGATTTTGAATAATGTTTGTGAAACATTTAATAGCACCATTGTGAAGGCTAGAAAGGAACCCATTGTGCAGATGCTAGAAAGCATTAGAAGTTATGTGATGGAGAAGCAACATGATAAGCTTAAGTTGATTTGTGGCATTACTGATAAGATTTGTCCTAGGATTAGAGTTAGGGTTGAGGAAAATAGGTATAAGAGTAGGCTTTTTTGTACCAAGTCAGCCTTAGGAGAAAAATTCCAAGTTCAGTTGTTAGAAGACCAGTTTGTTGTATCCTTGAGAGAGATGACATGTACATGCAGATCTTGGGATGTTAGTGGGATCCCTTGTGTTCATGCATGTGCAGCAATAAACTGGCTGAAGCATGATGTGAGTGACTATGTGCATCCTTATTACTATGTTGAGAGGTATATTACAGCTTATTCAAAAGGACTTGAGCCTCTCAATGGTAAAAAAATTGTGGCCTGAAGCTGTTGGTTATCCAATCAAACCACCTACTCTTAGAAGGATGCCTGGGAGACCCAAAAAAAATTCAAGAAAAAGAGCACCTGAGGAGGAGGCAAAGAGTAGCACAAAGCTAAAAAGGTTTGGATTGCAAATGACTTGCCAAAATTGCTTTCAAACTGGCCATAATAGGAAGAGTTGCTCTAATGCCTCAGTTCAGAACCCAAAGAAGGTAAAGTGATTTGATCTCAAATTATATTCAAAATTAGAATTTAGTGAATTGGAAAATATAAGCTCTAATGCTTATGATTTATGCAGAGTCAAATGAAGAAGAAAGAACCAAGAAGAAAAACTCCACCAGCTCAGAACTTAGTGCCACAACCCTCTGCATCTGAGAATCCTTCACCAGCATATACACAAACTGAAACAGCTCCTCTAGTTGCTCTTCAATCTGCTATGAAACAACCAATTAGAAAATCTCCCAGGTTGACTCAGACTGAACCGACTTTAAATGATCATGGGAGTCAAATACACAAAGAACGCAATTTGGTAACTTTTATATTTTTCTAATTTTGCTCCTTTAATCTTCATTGGTTTTAATCTTCATTGGTGAACATTAAAAGACATTTATATTTTTATGACAGGTAAATCTGACTCCAATACCGACTTTCTGGCACAAGTCCATACTCCTGAGTTCCTGAATACTATCAAGTGTTCTGGAACACCGAATCATGAGTTGAATTTAAAGGTCGGAACTCCAGTTATGTTGTTGCGGAACATGGATCACTCAATGGGACTCTGCAATGGTACACGATTGGTTGTGACCAAACTCTCCAATCATGTTCTCGAGTGTAAAATTCTTACTGGCGATCATGCAGGTGATAAAGTTTTGATACCTCCAATGACCATAACTCCTTCAGATGTTAGAATACCATTCAAATTCCAAATAAGGCAGTTCCCCATTATGGTTTCGTATGCAATGACTATAAACAAGAGTCAAGGTCAATCCTTATCTCATGTTGGCTTATTCTTGAAGAAGCCAATTTTTTGTCATGGCCAGTTATATGTCGTTGTCTCCCATGTTACTAATAGAAAGGGTCTGAAAATTTTAATTTGTGGAGAAGAAGGTTTGAAAGCAAATCAAACCAATAATGTTGTGTATAGAGAAGTGTTTAATAATATATGATTTTATTTTTTAGTACTTTGTATTTCTCTCTCTTTTTTTTCTATTACAATCAGATCATTAATTTATAAACAAAAATATTAAATAAAGTTTAGGAAAAAATGTTTGAGGAAATAACCCCACCGTACTGCGCACCGGTACTACACTATATTTCCCAAAATGAATATAGTTCGTGCATCGCACGGGATACATACTAATAGTAAAATATTATTGCATGATTTTTTTACACATTTTCATAACATAACAGAAAATTCCGAAAGTAAAAAAACTTAATTTTTATTCAATTATATCGGTCCAATTCAATTTGCTAATATATAATTTCAAACTAAGAATTTAAAATAAAATATAGTTAAGTGTGTGAGAAAACGTAAATGACCAAGATTATGTAAGAATATTAAAAATTACATTACATATAAAAGTTAAATAATATTGATTGTAACATTTAAATAAAAATGAAATAAAGTGAAGAAAATACAATATTAATGATATATTTTTGTAGCGTCTTTGGAGGGAAAACAAAAGATGTTTTATTAATTGTTTTGCTAGCAATTATATATATATAGATAATTTAAAATATGTTTCGTTTTTATCTTGACCAAATTATTATCAACATGAATCATGGAAAAAAAATTATAGTTTATTATAATTCATATCAATGTAATTATTGCAGAGGTTAATAAAATTATTCAAGGAAAGAAACTTTTTATCATATCTGATTTGATCTGATTTGAAAATATTTTATAAGGTTTTCAAAAGAAGTATGCATTAAATGTTTTTACATTTTTTGCTACTATTTTCAGTAATGCTTATTCTCTTTATATATAGAGATTCTCTTTACATCCTAATATTTTTTATATATAAATAAGACTATTGTTAGGCATGTCTAATATCTGGACAATCACATCTTTTAACAGAATGACACACTTTAAAATTGAAATATTATACTCTACCAAACAACATAATAGAAATATGACATTGTTGCACATTTTTTTAAGAAGTATGATGAATGAACATGCTTAATGATTATGCTGTCTCATTGTCTCACANTATATATATATATATATATTAATATTTTGGAAGGTAAACTATTCCGATAATACTGACATAAACTTTTTATCATTTTAGTATTTTTTCATATTAAATATTATTTCGAGATTAATTGACGTGTTATACCAAATTAATTACTCAACCTAAGAATTGGTTCATTACAATTTTGATAGTTAGGGCTTAGGAAGACCAACTGAGATAATTAATTCCAATAGTGTGTTGTATAAGTAGACAATATAATTTTATTATTAATATTTATTTATGTCCATATGATTCAGAATGCCACTTTGATTATGATATCCAGTTTTTATGGAACAGTCGAAGGTTTCCATGATTTTGTGACTAAGAGTAACTCCAGGGTTGCACGCTACTACACTGATTGATTTCGCTAACAATACTGCCAATTACTTTCCAAAATCCAGTGTTGTGCCACACTTTATCCCTAAATTCAAGTTTTGAACCGTGCGTCGTTAAATATGGCGACAAACTGTGCTACATTGTTGATAAAAATAATGAAAAATGAATTTCATATGTTCCAAGTCAATTACTAAAACTATCACTCTGGTTTTATTGAAATAATATTCACCACACCTTCACGAGCGTTAAATGAAATGTTTCAAGCGCTACTTCGTAGTTCTGGAAGGCTGCACACGTCTTTGTAATTACTGCACACGGTCTTTGTAATTATGCTCAACTTTAAGGGCCTTTTTTCGCAATTATCCAATAACTCAATGCAATTCATACATACATAAATATATGTCAAGATCATACTTCACTACATAACTAACCCCAATAACACAAGAATAAGAAAAAAAAAATTGCACC